CCAGGAGTTTGAGGTTGCTGTGAGCTAGGCTGACAGCACGGCACTCACTCTAGCCCAGGCAACAAAGCGAGACTCTCTGTCTCAAAAAAAAAAGAAAAGAAATGTATAAAGATGAGGATTTGTTAACATTATTTGTTTAAGTGTAGGTCAGAAGATAAGTATTGAAACTTTGACCAGAACTAGCATCCCCTTGAATGCTTCATATCAAACATAGAACTTCTTATTTGTTCATAGATGGAAATCTAATTTGGAGCTTTATTTTTATGATGTTAAATGTAGAAAAATTTTTTTAGGAAGTTAAAGTGAATTGGGCAACAACCCCCAGCAGTCAAAAGAAAGATACAAGCAGTAAGTATATTTTATACTCTTCGAACATTTGTTTTTATTATACCCAGTAGTTTTACTGTAAAGCATATAATCATCATACATGTTTGCAGTAATGTTTTGATCGTTATCCTAAGATATGATTTAATGTGTTTGTGTTAATAAATTTAAGAACAAATCTAATCTTTGTCATCAGGTAGTACCGTTGTCAGCACACAGCGTTCACAAGGTAATTGTATCTTCTTAAACATAAAATGAAATCTCTTGAAAGGGTATTCACTAACCACTTGAAGTTTTTTTGTTTTTGATATTGGGGGGGAGAGGGGAGGGAGGAGGTGTAATATTTCTCTTGTTTCTCTGGCAATATTTTTCCCCCTTCTTCCCAGTGTTGACCAAGTGTGACTTGCCCACTGTGTTGGTGCTAGTTCAAGCTCTCTGACCCCCTTGGTAGCAGCTGATGCCTTAGAAATACTTTCACCAACTAAAGGGCAAGATACCCTGCTTCCTTGAGGTCACCATCTGGGCTTCATACCCAGATCTTGCAAATGCTTGTGTTGCTCCTGAAACTTTGTTTCTCAAAGAGCTACCCTATATGTTGCTTAAGGCCTGCCAAATATGGGTAACTTTTCTTTCCAAATGTACCTTGTCGAAATTGGTATCTCTCTCTCTCTTTCTCTCTCTCTCTCTATTCATTTTAAAGTGTTGGTCCAACAATTTTGCATTTTTAAAGTGTTTCCTTTTTTTGAGAATTGTCTTTTTTAAAAAGTTCAGATATGGGATGGTTATTTCTCTCCAATGCTTTTTTAATGGTTCTGATATAAAGTGAAGGGATTACTGTTTTCATTCTGTTGCCTTCAGTCTTAGTTCACTTGCACATGGATTCACATAAACTGAATGGTGTAATGTCTGGGCAACCAAAACTGTTGGCTTTTGAGAAAACTGTCAAATACTTTAACATCAAACTGTTGCAATGCAAGGTATTTCTTTGATTGTTCTTCACAAAATATGGTTAAACCAAGTATATTGTGTAGCTAGCTTCAGTAAATTGTGTTAACTGAGGCAAATCTTGTCTACATAATTCACAATGCCACTATTTTATTTTAATTTGTAAAGCCTGAATATAGTGGTAAACTGAATAAAAGTAAAGAATTATTATTAGAATGGTAACTACATTAAATTTTCTACAAAACTGAAATTTGTTATATATTATTAGTTTATTTTCTTAGACCAGTATAATAATTGACTATAAATAGAAATATAACTGTTAGCTTCCAGCTAGATATACCACAGTCTTTTTAGGAGAATCTTTCCTATATTATTGCCTTGATTCATTTTGTTTTAGAGTTGATAGGATTTGTATAGATAGAGGATAGTGTTTCATTGATACTTTATTGTAATTCGTAAATCATTTTAAGAATACTGGATAGATTTTA